TCTTTCCTCAGTGTTTTCGTAGTAAAGAAAAACGCTGCATTTTCATTCAAATGTTGCCTAATTTCCTCACAGAAAATATTCATATCGCGAACAAAATTCTCCGTTAAATTGGAAGATAAATAAATGCATTTACAAGTATGTCCTAAAAATCGTGATTTGTCAAAAGACAATCGGCAACGTCTGAATGGTCATCCGGCGTTCTTCCTCGGCACGGCAGGGTACTGGTTGACACTTTTTTCGTATTCTCTGCAAATCGGCACCACTGGTAATCAGCTTCCAAAGCGCCTGGCGCTTGGCGCATGGAGTGCAGGGGCCTTTGCAGCGCACGGCGGCGGGCGCGGAGCGGGGTGCCCATTGAAAAATTCGAGCGGCCTTACGAGCCACGATACTCGACGTAGTACTACAGCCACCATGCGAACCGTTGTGAATGACTCCGTTTGAATTACAGATTCACTGGGACTCCACCGCGTCGAGAACGTGAGCAACAGCGAGCGGGCTGTGAGCCTCCACCTCTACTGCCCACCGTTCGACTCCTGCTCAGTATTCAACCAGCGGACTGGCCACAGGTCCACGAGTAAAGTCACATTCTGGTCGATCTACGGAGAGCGCCGCAATAAGGTAGGCTCTTCTACCTCCGAATCCGGAACCGCTTAAGTTCGACGAGAATCTCATCCGAAGATACGCGCTTTCGCTTGCACTTGAAGCGGGGTTACAATTGGACGTATTTCTGCCAAACGGAACTATGTGCATTAAGACATAAGCCCTGAGACCCATCAGAATATGTGCATAACAGGGCTCACATCATAATGCACATACTTCCGTTTGGCAGAAATAAGTCCAATTCTGCCTTGGCCGGAGTCGCGTGGGATTTGACTTGATCGCTAATTAATGTCTGGTCGACGGTGTCTGTGTCTGTCGCGCCCCTAATTGTTAGACGTTCCCCGAATTTCGGATGGCTCAGATCCGCGTTTGCGTTACGTCATCTTTTATCTAATAAAGAGAGGCTGACTAGGAGGGATGTTTGATTTTCGGATGTTGTCAGGTTGACATGGTAAAGAAATTAGAGAGGATGTGCAAGTAGTTATTCTGAACTTGCGGTCACTTTTATGATTCATAAAAAATTTGAGCCGGCCAGTAAATCCTCTCTCCTCTCTGTTCTAATAAAATCATTTTTAAGTCGCTTGATGGGCGGGGTGAGGAAGGGGAGGAAGAGGATTAAGTAGCGGCCTTTGGGGGCTCGCTGCAGCGTCCCGGGGGGTTGAGCCGCGTGGCGGCCAGGGGGCGAGGCGTAGTTTCCTATTTTATAATGGAAATCATTATAGAGATGAAAAAAACAGGAAATGTATTGGTGTTTAAATGAGTAGAAACTGTTCATATACAGATAACATAAAATACAACGATTTTTTTTATTAAGGTGATTCGATGGACGCCATATTTTGTGTCAGAACGGCATGCGACATATTGCATCAATTGGTTCCATTATTTCAGCTACTCGTCATTTTTCTCCAATTTTGAGATCGCAATTCTGTTGTCAGGAGACTAAAGCACTCACTTACCAATTTTAACAAAGAAATTCAACGTAATAAAGGCGTGGTTTTTTCAGAGAGAAAACATTGCATTCGATACTGACATCGAAACTGCACTCAAATGCGATGTTTTCTCTCTGAAAAAACCACGCCTTTATTACGTTGAATTTCTTTGTTAAAAATGGTAAATGACTGCTTCAGTCTCCTGACAACAGAATTGCGATCTCAAAATTGGAGAATAATGACGAGTAGCTGAAATAATGGAACCAATTGATGCGATATATCGCATGCCGTTCTGACACAAAATATGGCGACCATCGAATCACCTTAATAAATGAGATTGAAGACTACAATATTCAGCAATATAAATGTACGGGACAACAATATTCAGGTCATTCGGCAGATGGCACGCTTCTCAATTTTTCGCTTCTCTATCGTAAGAGCTTGTCTCCATTTTCACAAGAATCATGGAAAGCAAAGAATTATGCGGAGAAGAGGGTTCACGTGAGAATTGAGATACGTCCTCACGTCACAGGAGAAATGAATTCTCATGGCAAATGGTATACTCGATGCGGGAGAATAGACCTCAATATCAACCCGCGAAGGTCTGTAAGCAAACAAGTTTAGTAGGTAAAATTTTCTTTCCTTTTTTCAAGTTGAAAATAGCTCATCCTTAAAGTCGTAATAATCCATGTCTCTCTTTTTTCCAGAAATTGATGGAAGACGTAGAGCCAGAGGACAATTGATGCATC